CAAGAGACTGAGCTGAATACAGCACCTCAGACTGAGGAAGTCTCTCGGATGAGAGACGAAACGTTTCTACATTTATTTGTTGTTTTGCTTTGTTTTGTTTTTTTTGAATGTCCAGAGGACCAGATTTAACTTTTTTAGACTAATGAATAAATATTAAAGGGAATAAAGCATGCAAGAGGAGCATTTGGGGTAAATGTAAACTGAACAATATTGTTTAGAAGGTCTCTAAGTTCCAATATTTCAAGGACAAAGGGAATGGTGGGCTTTTTGTTACTGGAGTGGATCACTCGGGTGGATAGTTTTGGGCAGATTTAAAAAAAATTAAACTTTAGCATGCTGATCAGCTGAGTGTGAGCATAAACAATATTCAATCCCTACTGCAACCCAAAGTAGTTCACCCCCACTAGTTGGATGTCATCTTTTCCGATGGTTAGCTGCTTTATCTAAGCATGATCTGGTAGTCAAGGAAAGTTTATTTTTTTGTTAAAGTATATTGTTAATATGTCTAAGGTGTTATACCTTACCTATTTAATTGAAAGTAAGATTAATTTTTAAGATTTGTAATTTAGGGTTTTTATTTTATGATGAATAAGGTTCCCGAACTTTTGTGGTTTTGTTCAGTTGGGTTTTAATCATTCAAAGACTCTCTCTCAAGAAAAAAAAGAGTCCAGGCAGGATGGAGTAGATAAAGAAAAGTTTCAGGAGTAATTTATGACAAAAGGGTGACAGCAAAGGTCAAAGGAAACATTTACAAGACAGCTGTGAGACCAGCTATGTTGTATGGTCTGGAGACAGAGACATTTGCAAAAAGACAGGAGACAGAACTGAAAGTAGAAGATGATGAGGTTCTCCTTAGGAGTGACAAGGATGGATAAAATTAGGAATGAGATCATCAGAGGTACAGCACAGGTTGAACAACTGGGAGATGAAGGTAGAGATGCCAGACTGAGATGGTTTGGACATGTCCAGAGGAAGGACAGTAGTTTGGACATGTGCAGAGGAGGGACAGTAGTTTAGACATGTGCAGAGGAGGAACAGTGGGCATAATAAGTAGAAGGATGTTAGAAATGCAGCTGTCAGGAAAAAACAAAGAGGACATATATGGATGCAGTTAGAGAGGACATGGAGGTAGTTGGAGTGAGGACAGAGGATGCAGAGGACAGAGTGAGAAGGAGGAGGTTGTGGCAATTCCTGAAGCGTTAAAAAAGAAAAAAGAAGAAGATATAAAGTTTAGGAAAAAATGTTTGAATGTAATAGCTGGATTATTTACATATTTAACATTATCAATCATAGTTTGATTTACTCATTAAAACGCCTAAAATATCTCAGTTCACACTGAAACGTGGAGGTCATGAAAGAAGCAAAGCATCTCAAAGAAGAAAACGGACTTTGTTTGTCTTTGTGCAGTTGGTGTCACATGGTTGGTCCAACTTGAGTCCTTCCACAGCGGGTACTTTCTGCTGTAAGCTTTCAGGAAGACTCTGCACACTGCACCTGCAGATGTTCAGCTTGTTCTGAAGTTAGCAAAATATATCTAGCATTTACTGTATTTACATTAGATCAGACGGTGTAGAGTTCTGATGCATCAAATGGGTTTTTATTGAAGTCTAATGATCAATCTAACAAGGTCTTTGTAGCAAAAAATGTGCTTCATTTTCAGGTTGTAACAGTTTGTTGTCAATACTAACAATAAGGCAGCAAAAAATGTCGGAGACTTCCCCGACTACAGGACAGGTTACCATGACACATGAAACCTTCAGAGTTGTCACCAGGTGCTTCACAGATTCTGTCTGCAACTCTATGAACACTGTTATCAACACTGCTTTTCTGCTGTTTCTCCTCCATACACAGATGTTTTGGTGAGAAAAGACATTGTGAAAAATTATTTTCTAAATGAAACTTTTTTTTTTTTAACTCAACTTAATAGATTTACACGAACTCAAAGAGATGTGAAATGTAGCAGCTTGTTTTGTTCAGGTCCAAGATCATTTTTTTGTGTCCTGAAACCACAACAGAGCTGTAAGTACAAATTATTTTTTCTACATCTCTGTTGCTTTGTCCTGATCTTCACATTAAACTTTGATTGTGTGCTGAAATGTTTAATACCTGACAGAAAGTTGAACATTTTGTCCAAAAACAGGTGCAATACATGAAAGACGCAATCCTTGGAGCATTAACCAATGAGGCTCACTTTGGACTGACTAATGTCCATCTGGGCACCCGTAGTTCACACAACAGATCAGAGCTTCAGTTTATTTATTAGGTATTATCCAAATACAATTTTTACTACAACTTGTAACAAAGTGAATCCTCAAAGCAAGTTGTAGTGAATACTACTTTTTGAAATGTGTTTTTGAGAACTTTCTGCTACCGTCTGCAGTCCAAGATCAGTGTTAATAAATCAGAAATAAACAAATATTTTCTGTTGTTTACATGAAGCATGACAGCCGACTGGTTATTTTAATGTGTTTCATCCAGAGCTGGTCTAGTTGGACAGCATGATTTCTGCTGTGCTGTGAGATCAACCTTCAGCCAAGTTAAGAATGTGTTTCTGTGATTTGATGCACCTTTAATGGTTCAGCCAAGATACTCAGTGTATTTTCATTAGAATCATTTGACTGATGATAAAACCAACTATAAAATGAGAAAAAAATGTTAGTTTTAAACAGCATCTGAAGTACTTTACTTCATAAGAATGTTCCAGAAATTAATTTACAGTTGAGTTTGAGAAAAAGTGGGCGTTATGCAAAACATGACATAGCTTGTAAAATACGAAACAACTTTTCTAAAGAGATAAGTCTTAATTATAATTATTAATTAATAATAATAATAATAATAATAATAATAAGGCTTTATAATCAAGATAATATGCAAAATGTCAACAAGAGTGTGTTTTAGGAATATTACAACAGAGTGTTTGTCACTCAGAAATAAATTGGAAGTTTTTTTGCTCCCCAGTTTAATGGATGTTTAGAATAAAGCTGTAAAACAATTTCATGAATAAAAATGTTTTCTTTAATGTAAAGGGCCAGTTTGCATTGGAGTAAAACCTATTATAGCCATGTGTTTTATAAACACCAACTTTATTATTCAGGAAGGGTTTAAAAGTAACAATTGTCTCAACATTTCTAGAAAGAGTTCAGCCGGAGAACAATAATAATGACAGAAACTTTATTTATAGGAGCTTGAGAGCACAGTTGGTTCACTTCTTGATTTTAGACTTGAAATTCTATTTTTACATTTTTTTAATCTAATTTCCCCATTTAATCTGATTATAGTTTTAATTTTCTTCCTAATTCTTTTTCTTCTGAGTGACCTTAAGACCCTGTAATAACACACCGTTTAGACAAGAGATGGAGTGCCGCTAAAAACATCACAGCTAAACTAATTTTTACAGAATCTGAAATGTTCGGCCCACAAACATCTAAAATCAAACTCAAACACCGTGTTGTGTTATTTAAGTTATTTAGTATGGTACTTAGATCATTCTATTGGAATCATACAAGTTTTTTGCTTTATTTTATTTATTTTTTGTCTGGCAGCACAGTGAATCAGCAAGAAGGTCACTGGTTCAAATCCCAGCCCAGGACCTTTCTGGGTGGAGTTTGCATGTTCTCTCCGTGCATACGTGGAGAAGGGGTTCTCTGCAGACCAAAAGTGGGCGTTTCTGGAGAAAAGGTGTTTCTAGAGGACAAACACTGATTGGCTAGCTTTATTTGCTGCTCTTTAGGTAAGTTAAGTCAGCTCTTTTTTAAAATGAAGGTTTCTAAGAACCAGCGTTATATCTGCTGTCAAACACAAGAAGATTCTCTTGTGTTCTTGGTTGTAGCTGCACCTGACACAGGTTGGCTTGAGTGTGGTCTGGGTACAATGAAATATGAAGCATCTGAAGCGAAACCTGCTCTCATTTGTCCAAAAAGTCTGGTCTCAGTTAAAGATCATGAGTCCTGTAACGAGATAATGGCCCAAAACAAAAGCTAAAAACAACATTTGCTCTTTAGAAGTTCTTCTATGAGATGTGATCTATGAAAGGAGCTGAAACATGGAGTAGGATTGACCCTTAAAATGTGAGACAGCTGAGGAAGTTAACCAGTAAACAGAAATACCTGCTCCAGTTGCAGAAATCATAAAGAAACTGTCAATCACTCATCTGCAGCGACTGATTTAAAAGGTCGAACAAGAAAATGTGAAGTTAAAGGAAACATCCTTTGTCCCAAGTCCAGTTTAAGTATCATTAATGTTTTGGTTACTTCATTTTTCTGTATTTATGAATTGATTGTAACTATTTTCACATTATTCAACAACCAAAACTGATTTTGTTTTTAATGTAATGGCTAGGTATTAAAAAAACAAACATTTAGCCCTCCCCACTACCCATTTATATTGCTCTTATTTTGAAATGTAACAGGAAGTTCTGTGTTAACAGAGGCGGAAAGAGAAGTTATGGAGACACCGCTAATGTTGAACTGGTCAACACCATAAACATAATATATCTGTGGTTAACACAAACGCCTTTTTTCTTATTGTCCAATCAGATGTGGACCTCTAGATACACCTTCCATATTTGTCTGCAGAGATACCTACTTGCATGAGTGAGTTTTCTCCAGGTACTCCAGTTTCCTCCCACAGATCAAAAACATGAATGTTAGACTGATTGGTCACTCTAAATTTTCTCTAGGTGTGAGTGAGAGAGTGAATGGTTATTTGTCTCGTTTGTCTCTATGTGTCCCTGTGATGGACTGGAGACATGTCCAGGGTGTCCCCCACTTCTTGCAGTGACTGCTGGACATGGGCACCAGTGACCCCTGCGACCCAGAAAGGAAGAAATGGGTAAAGATAATGGATGGCTGGATGGATGGCTGGATGGCTGGATGGATGGCTGGATGGATGGATGGATGGATTTTTTTGTCTTACATAAATGAAGCACCTAAAATAATTTTAGAAAACAGTTGTCTGTTTAACTGGATGGACTTTGTGATAAAATGTGTGGGCCTCGGCCTCGCCAGCCCCCCTCATAGCTGCGCCACTGTTTCCAGCAGGAATGATCATTGTAAGTGTGTAAATGCGAGTCAGTGTGTCTCAGAACGGTTCCACTGATATATTTGTTTGTAGAAAACACGCAGTCATGTTTTGGTTGTTGTATGAACGAGCACGTTGACGGATGAATGCACTGAAGTCTCCCGGCCATGAACTCCAACTCTGAGTCTCTTTCTTCTGAGTGTTAAATGAAGCGTCACTCTTCAGTGTGATACCAGTCTGTTCTAGTCCTTCTCCAAGGTTGTCCATGTTGTGCATAAAGCTTGACCTGCAGGTTGTGGTTCCAGCACAGAGCTGAGCAGCTCCTCGTCATGTGGCTGCTCAGACAGAGTTTTGACTCTTTGCAGAGTGAAGGTGAGAAAGACGAGCTGACATATCGGAGCCCCAGGAGCGTCAGGGCGGAGCTGCTGGGGTCTCAGTTTGTGATCTTCAACACTGGCTGGTCTTCTCAGGGCTGACAAAGCTCTCTTGCTCCTTCTCTGCTGCGTTAACATGGGCCTGCGTCTCTCGGCTGCTCTTCTTGTTCTCCTGAGCGGCCATGTTGTTGATTCGTGTGCCCTGCAGGTGGCGCTGCCGCTCCTCGCTGTGCCACATGCCGTAACCAAAGTAGATGAGAAACCCTGCACAGATGAAGAGAGCGGACACGACAGCTTCACATCTTCACTACTTCATGTATAAAACAAGTTTAAACCACCAGCTGCTACAGAGGTTTAAAGAGGACAAAGCCTCAGAACAGACTGCTATGACCTGTCTGATGCTGGAAAAACCCAAAAAATAACTTGGGGGGGGGGGGGGGGGGCAAGGTAAATGGTAAATAGACTGCACTTATATAGCTCCTTTCTATCTTATCAAGATACTCAAAACACTTTACACTACAATCTGTGCCTCATTTACCCATTCATGCAGCACTACTACATCTACTGTATATGCCACAAGATCACAAGGGAACTTGATGGCTCAGTACGATCAACCTCCTCCTCCTCCTCCTCCTCTTCTTCTTCTTCTTCTTTTGGCTTTTCCCTCTTCAGGGATTGCCACAGCGAGTCATCCTCCTCCATCTCTGTCCTCACTCCAACTACCTCCATGTCCTCTCCAACTGCATCCATATATCTCCTCTTTGTCTTTTTCCTGGCAGCTGCATTTCTACCATCCTTCTACCAATATACCCACTGTCCCTCCTCTGGACATGTCCAAACCATCTCAGTCTGGTCTCTCTAACTTTATCTCCCAGTTGTTCAACCTGTGCTGTACCTCTGATGATCTCATTCCTAAACTCATCCATCCTTGTCTTTCCTAAGGAGAACCTCAACATCTTAATTCCTGCCACTTCCAGTTCTTTCTCTTGTCTTTTTGTCCATGTCTCTGTCTCCAGACCATACATCATGGTCTCACCACTGTCTTGTAAACTTTTCTTTTGACCTTTGTTTGCTGACATCCATTTGTCACAAATCACTCCTGAAACTTTTCTCCATCCACTCCAACCTGCCTGGACTCTTTTCTTCTAGGGTCAGAGTCTTTGGCTCCTACTAAACAGACATACAGAGGACCGAGCAGGCTCCACATCTATAATCTATAAAATTACAAGAAGCCTGACAATCACTGCCCCAGACAGCAAACAGCCTTGTGATGTGACTCTCTGTAACATGTGTCCAACATGGCTGACGGTCTTCAAAAGGTGTGCAGCAGCTCATGTACGGTAGATGTTTGATGAACTCACCTGCTGCCATCCACACTGAGAAACGGATCCAGGTGTCTCCACTCAGCTGAACCATGAGGTAAATATTAACAAAAACACTCAGAATAGGCAGAAAAGGAAGGAGGGGTACCTGTGATGACAAAAACCACACAAGCCATTAAGTTTAATGAGCTACAAGTATGGCAAGCAGTTTGTGTATTTATTCAATCTCTTTGATGTGGTCATTTTGGCCCTTCAGTTCACTTCACTGCATTAGTTGCACTTTAGATTGTGGCAGATCAGTAAACACTCTTACTAGTTACACTTTTTGCTAACTAGTTGGAGCAGAAGTTATACTAGTCAACCACTTGTTGACTAGTGACTGTCAAATATGTGCAGTGACACGTGCAACCTTAAAATTTAACAAGTCAACCATCCATCCAGCTGTCCATCATCCATCTATCCACCCATCCATCCATCACCCATCCATCCATTCATCGATCCATCCATCCATCTATCCATCCATCCAGCCATCACCCATCCATCCATCCATCCATTCATCCATCTATTTTTTTTACTCGCTTTTCTTGTTTGAGTCACAGAGAACTGGTATCCATGTCCAGCAGTCACTGTGTGAGAGGCAAGGGACACCTGGACATGTCTCTAGTCCATCACAGGGACACATAGAGACAAATGAGACAAACAACCATTCACTTTCTCCCTCACACTTAGCGACAATTTAGAGTTACCAATCAGCCAAACATGCATGTTTTTGGTCTGTGAGGCGACAGCTGTAACCACTATACCACTGTACCACTACTAGTAAACATTTAAATGCTCACTAGTCAGATAGTTGACAAATTTTCATAATTTCTAGTTAGCTAATACATTTGATGGTAGTGGTGGGGCAGAGGTTAGAGAAGGTGGCCCTGTGATCAGAAGGTCGTTGGTTCAACTCCCCGGACCAACAACATCAAAATGTGGGTGTGAAAGGTGAAACACCCACACCTGCCTCCACCCTCATTTGTCCCACTCTGGCCCCCTGAGCAAGGCCCTTAACCCCCACAGCTGCTCCCAAACAGGTCTCTCTTGAAAATGAGTCCTCCTGACCCAGTGAGAATGGCTGTATAGCTGTATAACAGGCCATCTTTGTGAAAAGAAATCGTCCATCATTAAACAGGGGTGGAGGCCTCCGGGTTCAACTGTCCCCCTCTTACAATGCTGTGATTGCTAGTATCACTCAGCCCTCTGTGAGTAGTAAACAGCCATCAGTGTGCTAATGATCCATTGTTAGGCTGATGGTCCTTCTTGAGTATGTGATCAGCTGGTTTTGGTTGTCAGCAGCAAAACTGGTTGATCCACTCTGAGATGGTGCTATTTAAGAGACTGAGCTGAATACAGCTCCTCAGACTGAGGAAGTCTCTCGGATGAGAGACGAAACGTTTCTACATTTTTTTGTTGATTTGCTTTGTTTTGTTTTTTTGAATGTCCAGAGGACCAGATTTAACTTTTTTAGATTTTTCTACCTGGATTATTGAGCATGCATCAGGAAACTTGGGCTATCCTTGTCCCCTCTGGTCCGGATGACATGGCATCCCAGTGTTCCATAAAGAACTTCAAATCGTGACTCATCTGACCACAGAACAGTCTTCTATTTTGCCACACTCCATTTTAAATGACCGCTGGCCCAGTGCAAATGTCTGAGCTTGTGGAGCTTGCTTAGAAATGGCTTCCTCTTTGCACTGTAGAGTTTCAGCTGGCAACGGCGGATGGCACGGTGGATTGTGTTCACTGACAATGCTTTCTGGAAGTATTCCTGAGCCCATTCTGTTATTTCCTTGACAGTGGCATTCCTGTTTCATGTGCAGTGACATTTAAGGGCCCGGAGATCACGAGCATCCAGTAGAGTTTTATGGCATTGACCCTTACGCACAGCGATTGTTCCAGATTCTCTGAATCTTTGGATGATGTTATGCACGGTTAATGATGATAACTTAAAAGTCTTTGCTTATTTACTCTGGGTAACACCATTCTGGTATTGTTGCACTATCTTTCTGCGCAATAATGGTGGAATTGGTGATCCTCTTAACATTTTGGCTTCTGAGTGACACTGACACTCTGAGAAGCTCTTTTTATACCCAATCATGTTGTCAGCTGATCTAATTAGTGTTAATTGGTCTTCCAGCTGTTCGTTATACGTTCAATTTCCTTTTTCCAGCCACTTATTGCTACTTGTCCCAACTTTTTTGGGATTTGTTGACAGTGTGAAATTTTGAATAAACATATTTTTCCTTTTAAAATGTTACATTTACTCAGATTAAACTTTTGATATGTCATCTGTTATATTACAAATAAAATATTGACATTTGCCATCTCCACATCATTGCATTCAGTTTTTATTCACAATTTGTTTAGTGTCCCAACTTTTTTGGAATCCGGTTTGTAAATAAAATTAATTAAAAATGTCTCCTAGTAAACTAATAAGGCCCAAAACATTTGCTAGTTGACTTGTGTCACAAAACGTGTCACTCAACTCAAATAATAATGCCCAAAATGCCCAATAATTGACTATATACTGTATATACATACATACATGCACACACACATACACACACACACACACACACACACACACATATATATACATATATATATATATATATATGATATGATATTTTTGGCCATTCTAGTCAACTAGTGATCTTATGAAATGTTGATTACGTAACCAGTAATCGCAAATTTGCAAACACCTGATAAGTGAAACTAAATTTAGCCTTACTAGTTAACTACTAATGTCTCAATTACTAAAGCTTTGAGGTCACTAGTTCATATTGTTGCACTAGTTGTCTTTTGAGTATAAATGTAATTTTAGTCATATGATCATTTTAAAATAAATAATGGGGAATAAAGGACTAGTGATGTCATGGATATGAATAAATACACAAACTTCTTGCCATGTAATAATGTGAATCCATAAGGCCTGAGTCTGTGCTCCACGCACCATGAAGGACACCTTGGTGGTCGTCTGAGGCTGCCTGCAGACCATGATGATGCAGCCACTGAACATGACGAGACACACGGACAAAAAGGCCAGGATCCACACCTCCAACCTAGAAATGGACTCGAGGTGGTATGTGGTGAAATAGCTGACAACACACACGAGCAGCACTGTGGTTGGAGAGCACACACACATCACGTTACAGTCTGGAGTCAGGAAGTGAACAGATCCCCAGTGAGATGCAGTTTTCATACCTAACAGGCTGATGGACATGTTGACCACGCTGGACGACTGCTCCGAAGGTAAGACAGGGGGGTGCAGGGCGGTCTGCAGGGTGGAGCTGCCTGCTCTCAGCATGTTCAGGTGTGACTCTGACTCAGTCAGTTCAGACTCCTCAGAGGACAAAACGTCTCTCCCAGGTTTACTCAAGGTGTGAGCTCCATCTGGCTGATACCTGAGGACAGAGCCATAAAAGATCTGTGCTGTGTTAACAGTTAGAAACATCAAAACACTGAAATGGCCACTAATGCTGCCCACAAAGATGGAAAGGAAGGAAAAAGAACAGAAAAACATCAAAGAAGCTCCTCAGACCCGTGGGCCTCCTAATTGGGCCCGTTTGTCAAATTAGCAAAGACATCCAAGAAATACAAAACAGGGAGAAGATCCCATATGTTGCTGGAGCATCTGAAGAACTCAAGATTATGTATGTTCTTCCATCAACAAACCTGTACACTTCAAACCTAACCTCAGACAGAGGCTGGTCCATCCCAGGGACAGAACCTCCAAACCCAAACTGCTGGTAGTGTCTGCGGGTCAGAGCAGTGAGTAGTGGTGGCTGTTCAATAGAGGGCACGAGGGCGCCACCCCACCACTCACAATATTACACTGCAGACTTAAAAAAAAAAAAAAGAAATAATAAAATTAAAATGTTTCAAAATATACAGTATGTATATATTTTTTTAGTTGTGAAAGATAATGTGTGTAAATAAATATATCGTCCAGGGCTGCACGGTGGCTCAACTGGTAGAGCTGCTGCCTCTCAGAGAGCAGGTTATCCTGGTTCGGGGACCTTTCTGCGTGGAATTTGCATGTTCTCTCCGTGCTGCGTGGGTTTTCTCCGAGTACTCCAGTTTCCTCCCACAGACCAAAAACATGCATGTTAGTTTGATTGGTAACTCTAAATTGTCCCTATGTGTGAGTGAGAGAGTGAATGTTTGTCTCTATGTGTCCCTGTGATGGACTGGAGACCTGTCCAGGGTGTACCCCACCTCTCGCACAGTGATTGCTGGACATGAGTGGATGGATGGATGGATGGATGGATGGATGGAAGATAAATATTTTATAGTTAATGATGAGTAAAGTTGTTTCTTTCAAAAACATTGTCTCTGATTGATAACATATTTTCACCCTGGGAGCGGTCCAGTCCATTGACTCTTGTTAAAAGTCGTACATTTGCAGTCAGCTCCTCTTTGTTACAAGAGATAGGAAGATTCTGGGCGCACCACTCAAGCGCCCTGAGTACAAATGTACTGTACGGCTCGTGCTTCCGGTCCTGCCGTCCCGGTACAGATTTATTTATTTATTCTTTTTTTGTTGTTGTCCTGGAATAGATTGTGCAATGACACTCACAACCAGGCTATGTATGAAATATTATTTAGCTGTCAGACAGCAGCACATTTAAAGAGGCGCAGCATTAATTTTGATCAGGCAGATAGTTGGGAGACCCGCTGCATTCGGCGCTGGGTTTGTTGATGCTGGCCAGGGTCCTGTGTAGAAAGTAGAGGACTGGAGCAGACCACCACCTCAAGCAACGTGGAAAATTCCAACGGCAGTCATCATTAATGTGCCTTATTTACTGTGTTTACACAGGTAAGGAATGAGTTACTAAAGTGAGCAGACGTGAGCAGACGTGAGCAGAAGTTAGCATGAGTGAGCGAACTGATGAGTCTGTGATGCGTGCATGTGTGTGGAATGTCTTGAACATATATATTTTGGTATATGTCTATTTTGGAGTTGTAGACCCCCCCCCCCCCACACACACACACACACACACACCCTCCCAGCCGCCACTGGCAGTGAGGACCATTCAGACCTTCATGTTGGAGAAACTAAACAACCACCCCACAGACTCATGGCTCAACATCGGGGAGCAGGTTTTCAGAACCAGACAGACGTCCACCTACATCTCAAGGATGAGGAACACTCTGCTGAGGAAAAAAATGTCCATATGTTGGACATTGAGGACAGGTGTTTGAGAGGGAGTGAAGGAAGATATTTTCATCAAACAAGACAAAAACAACTTTCAACAGAGGAGGAGGTCTCAGAGTTCAACTTTTAAAATCCTACAATGCAGCTTTAGGCCTGATTCAGCTCTGATCCAGACCTTCATGCAGGTGACCCAAATGCCTCTCTGAACCAGGCAGACAAAAAAACCTAATTAACCTCCACTGTGCAGGTGAGTAGTTCCAGTCTAACCTGCAGCTGAATCTAAGAATGAGACATTTCATGCAGTTTATCAAACTTTGAATTCCACACAAATCTGTTGAATTGATAAAGCCCCCCAGATGTCCAGAAGTCCAGATGTTTTAAACCACTTTTGGATTTACCATGTTCTGGATGGCTGAGAGTCTACACCAGCTACCATGGCTGCCATCTTGATAAGCCTACCACCCTGTGCTGATGACATGTTGAACCACACGTTGGCATCTCCTCAGTCCAGAACACAAATAAATGGGTTGATTTTAAACATACCCCGTTCTCTGTCCTCACTCTATTTCCTGTCCCCACTGTGTCCTCTGCATCCTCTTTCCTCACTCTGCCCTCTGTGTCCTCTGTCCGCACTCTGTCCTCTGTCCGCACTCTGTCCTCTGTGTCCTCACCCCAACTGTTCTCTCTCAGGAAGGTCATTCTCTGTTACTAAATGTCTTGTGTATGTTTGTTTGCTTTGGCAGCCAAAAGAACAACAACAATCAGCACTTCAGGAATTAAAAGAGGATGGTTGAACTTTTGACCAGCCTACACACTCCCATCCATTCATCCATTATCTTTGACCCGCTTCTTCCATTTTGGGTCACGGAGGTCGTCGGTGCCCATGTCCAGCAATCACTGTGCGAGGGGCGGGGTACACCCTGGACAGATCTCCAGTCCATCACAGGGACACATGAAGACAAACGAGACAACCATTCACTCTCTCACTCACACCTAGAGACAATTTAGAGTTACCAATCATTCTAATATGCATGTTTTTGCATCTGTCGGAGGAAACTGGAGTACCCGGAGAAAACCCACACATGCACGGAGAGAATATACAAACTCCACCCAGAATGGCCCCTGAACCAGGATCTGAACCAGGGTAACCTTTTCGCTGAGAGGCAGCAGCTCTACCAGTTGCACCACTGTTCTGCCTTCAGGTTTGTACACAACTATCTAATGGATATTTTTGGAGGAAATGCAGCTAATATTGATGTGTTTTCAGTTAGCTGATATATGCCGACCCTCCATACCTGCTTTACTTAGTGATCTATTGTAACGAGAGTGAAGAGCTGGTGTTTATTAAGACAGTGTTTCCATAAACAATAAGATAAATGTAATGCAGTAATATTCAGGTTCCAATAATTATAACCAATTATGTCAAAACAAGCTTCTTGGCTAAGTTTAGTTTTTGTTCCTCAAATATCCATGGTCTGCTGGTCTGCCATGTTAAGGACGGCACAGAACACCTACCTGACTGTATGGTGGTTAGCTACTCCCATGTATTTCTATTCCAGCTGTGAAAGCCCCCAAACCCCCAGCTGTAACCTCACATCTATGAATAGCGCCTCCTCCTCCATCAAACCACTTGGGTTGTGAAACAGCTCCCATCATCTGGTTTACAAAACAAGTGAGTTCTAAAACAGGTTTAAACCAGAGAAGGAGAGCTGTGGGGCGACAGATCTGCTCTGTGTTCACAACAGGCGTGCTTCAACTCTTGGCTAGTACAGGAGAAAGTACAGAAACTTGAATAAACACCTTAATTTACTCAAGCAGCGCCTTCCTCATACAATGGGAGCATTCAAGGTTCTTACATCACTGAGGGGATGCAGCAACACACAGGGCTGTTTGCTGCTGTGGCCATCCAAAACACTTTTTTTAGGAAGGTTCTTTCACAATGTTGCACAAATAAGACTTCTTCAAAATCAGATACAAACAAGTTTTTTGGATGTACCCACCTGAGAATGAGTACACAGACAGCAACCAGCGTGTAGGCCAGCAGAGTGCCAATGGACATCATGTCAACAAGAGCTTTGAGGTCAAACAAGAACGCCATGATAGCTACGAAGAAAAGAGTCAAAATCAACACTCAGATTTCTAGATAACATTCAAGTCAAGTCAACTGTATTTATAAAGCACAATTAAAACAGAAGCTATCAAAGTGCTTAACAAAAAAATCAATGAGAGTAATTGAATGGACAAAATAAAAACAACAGTATCAAAAATTAATTAAAAACATCCAAGAATGACATAGAAACACAGAACAAAAAAATAAATAAAACAAATCACATTGTGACGCATGAAATGTCAGGGACAACAGATGAGATTTTAGCAGAGATTTAAAAACAGGAAGAGAAGTACTCTGCCTAATGTTATGTGTGTGTGTGGGGGGGGGGGGAGGGAGGGGGAGATTGTTCCAAAGTTCCCTTCCTAACATGAAGTATAATACTGAAAAATAGTAGCAGCTGGAAAACATGTTTTACACCCACACACTGTTAGACACACAATACCTCAAGCTATCCTGATGCATGCTCAATAATCCAGGTAGAAAAATCTAAAAAAGTTAAATCTGGTCCTCTGGACATTCAAAAAAAATAAATAAATAAATAAATCAACAAAAAAATGTAGAAACGTTTCGTCTCTCATCCGAGAGACTTCCTCAGTCTGAGGAGCTGTATTCAGCTCAGTCTCTTAAATAGCACCGTCTCAGAGTGGATCAACCAGTTTTGCTGCTGTAGTAGAACATATACATGAGATATATTCATACTGTTAAAACAGATTCTTTCATTTTTCTGGACTGTATTATGACGTGTATCTGAATCTAATAAAATGTGGACGTGAGACGTTAATTATCTTTGACTCACCAAGACAGTGGGTCATTTATTAACAAAATCAAGTTTAACACATCACACATTTACATTAATTGGCAAAAATTGAAAATAACGACAGCTTATTAATCAGTTTTACAGGAGTGGTAAACAATGCAGCGATTGTTCTCACTTCCAGCAGAACGGCAGGTATTACCACACGGCGGTGGTGAAAACTTTGCTTCAGACATTTCTAAAAATATCTGGATTAATTTGCTAGCAGATAGGAGAGTTTAAAGATGGAAAGATGAAGTTTAGAGGGAGGGAGATGGTGTGTGAGGGAAAGTGTTGAACAGAACGACACCCTCCATTCGAACCCAGCTTTCCTCGGTACGCTCGGTAGTAAACTCGACTCGTTACCTCTCTGAAGATGAATCAGCGGATACGGAGTTCAGTTAACGCTACCGGTCCAGCGTCTCCGTAGGATGGCAGAGAACCGTCCGGAGTGGTGGTGGTACTTCATCAACAACAGTTCACCTCACGAGTGGACTCACATGAGTGGAGTCTGTCCGAGTTCCACCCAGAGGTGGAAGATGTTATAATCCCATAAGACTCGGAAGAGCTCTGTGGTCATGTCAGGATTTTCCTGTTTCCCCAAACTCTACTGTCGACTCAAACTGGGTTGAACTAGGAAGTACCGACATTTTAAAGAGCTCTATTTCCGGTTCATCTGGGAGTTTCTGATTGGTCAATGGACCAAAACAGAAGTGTGTTTTGTGATGTAAGGTGTTATGAAAAGTCAAGGAAAAGATTAAGATTGTTTAAGAACAGACAAAAAGATATTATGAAGAAACCAGACTTCGTGGAGTCAATTCTCTAGTATCTTGCTGTAAAAGTTAAACATGACATTTATTTTCAGTAAACTTGCAGTTGACCGAAACTTGAACTTTGACCAACTTCCATCACTTGCTCACTTCAAACAGACGATCAAGAAATTGAATCATTACTCTGTAACGTATTCCAACTTGATTTCACTTTGAATGAGGATTAAGAATCATTATTACTGTTTCACAGTTAATAAAATATGAGTAGTTCACTTCAACATGTAAACATTGTTTGAACTAACACAATTTGATTATCAAACATTTGTAAAATAGTAATGATAATAGAAAGTAGTTTTCTTTTACTTGATTAAATCAAGAAAGAAAGTCTCAGGATGGGTCAACCTGTATTTCTGGATGCAAATCAATGAAATAACAAGTTCTGTCCCATAAAGTCCTTAAGGTCAAATCCTGACCTTAGGCTTAGTTCACTACACTGCTGACAACCAAAACCAGCTGATCACATGCTCAAGAAGGACCATCAGCCTAACAATGGATCATTAGCACACTGATGGCTGTTTACTATTCACAGAGGGCTGAGTGATACTAGCAATCACAGCATTGTAAGAGGGGGACAGTTGAACACGTAGGCCTCCACCCCTGTTTAATGATGGACGGTTTCTTTTCACAAAGATGGCCTCCTTTACTCCTCTCTCAAACCATTGTTCCTCTCTGTCCAGGATGTGAACATCTTCATCCCTGAAAGAGTGACCGCTGGCCTGGAGATGAGTGTAGACCGCAGAGTCCTGGCCTGATGATGTTGATCTTCTGTGCTGGGCCATCCTTTTGGCCAGTGGCTGTTTAGTTTCTCCGATGTAGGACTGATCACAGCCCTCCTGCTGTGATTGCTAGTATCACTCAGCCCTCTGTGAACAGTAAACAGCCATCAGTGTGATAATGATCCATTGTTAGGCTGATGGTCCTTCTTGAGCATGTGATCAGCTGGTTTTGGTTGTCAGCAGCAAAACTGGTTGATCCACTCTGAGACGGTGCTATTTAAGAGACTGAGCTGAATACAGCTGCTCAGACTGAGGAAGTCTCTTGGATGAGAGACGAAACGTTTCTACATTTTTTTGTTGATTTATTTTGTTTTGTTTTTTTTTGAATGTCCAGAGGACCAGATTTAACTTTTTTAGAATACCTCAAGCATTTTTGCAGATAAAAATGTAAAAAGGTATTTACTTCAGCTGTGCAGTACAAATAAAGCTTGTAAAATTAAAAGTCATTATTACACCCAAATTAAATTTAACCTGTCTAAATAAAGGTTGAATGAAAAAAAATCGTGCAAAAAAATTTAATTAGGTAAAGCAGGTGAGTGAACAGTTTTCCTGTTTTAATATGAGTGCAGTAATCATCTCCACACAAACATCTTTTGATGGGAGATACGCATCATATATTGTATATCATGGTATACACTGTGGTATCTATCTGGTACCTGACCAGAAGGATGCAGTACTGTGACATTTGACTGATACTGTAGGATCTGACTGGAACTGTGGTATTTCACTGATACTGTAAAGATAAGGTAAGATATCTTACTGGACCCCCTGCAGTTTGCCTACAGGGCCAACAGGTCTGTAGATGATGCAATAAACCTGGCTCTTCACTTCATCCTGCAGCACCTGGACTCCCCAGGAACCTACGCCAGGATCCTGTTCGTGGACTTCAGCTCCGCATTTAACACCATCCTCCCTGCTCTGCTCCAAGACAAGCTCTCCCTGCTCCATGTACCTGACTCCACCTGCAGGTGGATCACAGACTTCCTGACAGACCGGAGTCAGTGCGTGCGGCTGGGGAGAGCTGTCTCGGACACTCGGACTATAAGCACAGGATCTCCACAGGGCTGTGTGCTTTCCCCCCTGCTTTTCTCCCAGTACACCAACTGCTGCACCTCCAGCCATGACTCTGTGAAACTTATTAAGTTTGCAGATGACACCACCCTCATCGGGCTCATCTCGGACGGTGATGAGTCTGCATACAGGAGGGAGGTGGACCGGCTGGTGACCTGGTGCAGCAGCAACAACCTGGAATTCAATGCCCAGAAGACAGTGGAGATGATTGTGGATTTCAGGAAAGCCACAGCCCCTCTGCCCCCCCTCACCTGTAATGATACCCCCATCACCACTGCAAATTCTTATCGGTTCCTCGGCACCACCATCACCCAGGACCTCAAGTGGGAGCCAACCATCAGCTCCCTCATCAAGAAGGCCCAGCAGAGACTGTACTTCCTGCGACAGCTGAAGAAGGCCAAGCTGCCGGCCAAGCTGATGGTGCAGTTCTACACAGCCATCATCGAGTCCATCCTCAGCTCCTCCATCAGGGTGTGGTACGCCGGGGCCACTGCCAGGGACAGACTCAGACTGCAGCGCGTTGTGCGCTCAACTGAGAAGGTGATCGGCTGCAGCCTTCCATCCCTCCACGACCTGTACGTCTCCAGGACTGTGAGGCGAGCAGGTCGGATCACAGCTGACCCTGCTCACCCTGCACATGGTCTGTTCGAACCACTCCCCTCAGGCAGGAGGCTTCGGTCCATTCGGACCAGAACCTCCCGCCATAAGAACAGTTTCTTCCCCTCTGCTGTTGGACTCCTGAACACTCATAATGCTACCTCCTAATTTCTGCTTTGGTCACATTACATCTGTATTATAACTGAATACTCCATCTGTACTGTTCTCTAAGCTTTTTTATTGTTTTCTATTGTATGGGTGTACATAAGGTTATGTTATGTTTTTAATTTTACTTTATTTGTGGGTGTACACAGGTCTTATGTCTTATGTAATGTTCTCATTTTTACTTAATTTTTACTTAATTTTTACTTTATTTTACTTTATTACTATTCGCACCTTATGTCATAGCAAATTCCTAGTTTGTGAACCTCGTTCATTGACATGGCAATAATAAACTGATTCTGTACTGTGGTATCTGACTGGTACTGTAGTATCCAACTGGTACCTCACCATAAGGATGCAGCACTGTGGTATTTGACTGGTACTGTAGTATCTGACTGGTACTGTGGTATCCAACTGGTACCTCACCAGACGGATGCAGTACTGTGGTATCTGTCTTGTACCTCACCAGAATGATGCAGTACTGTGGTATTTGACTGATACTGTGGTATCTGGCTGGTACCTTACCAGAAGGATGCAGTACTGTGGTATCTGACTGATACTGTGGTAACCAACTGGTATCTCATCTGAAGGATGCAGTACTGTGTTATTTGTATTGTAACTCACCAGAAAGATGCAATACTGTGGTATTTGACTGATACTTTGATAGCTGACTGCTACTGTGGTATCTGACTGGTACTGTGGTATCCAACTGATACTGTGGTATCTAATTGGTATTGTGGTATCCGACTGATACTGTGGTATCT